ACTCTTTCCTTAATGGTTTTGCTATCTTTTAATTGGAATTGAAGCTGGGAAGAACTACTGTCAGATATCACTCCCACCTGTTTTCTTTTTATTATACATACTTTAGACTGCAGACTGAATACAAATATTGATCAGAAGCCAAAACGCCCCAGACATTTCTTATCAATTCAATCCAGGCCAATCTTTCAACTCTGCATTTTTATGTTCTTGCCTCACCACTTACTAAAATAAATATATGAATAAAATATCAATCCAAATAAGCATCTCTCATCTATAATTACCTGAAGAGATTTAAAGAAGGGTAGAATTAATCCATCTCACCAGTTGCATCTTCAATGCCTGTTCAGTCCTGCTTGAAATGTCTAGATTCAATTTATAGAGAATATGAATGTATAACACTGTAGAGGGGTGCTTCTAGCAGATTCTGTTTGGGAGGGACAAAAGGTCAAACCATTCCTTTGCCATTCTGTGAGAGTTAGGAGTCTCTGGGCTGGGTCAGAGGGTAGGAGAGCTATGTCTAGATCTGGAATGGATCACTCACACAATTAAGTTCTTGTCAGACCCTCCTAATCCCCCCCAACCCCCCTGTCAAAAAACCCCCACAAACTCACGACAGCACAACTTCCGCAGGCAAGTGGACAGCCAGATGGAAAGCAACTATTTTTCTCCACCTACTTCAAAATTTGAAATGAGAATGGGAACTAATGATGGAAAAAAACATTTCTAAGTTTTAGAATACACTCTTACTTGGGTTACTATTTTGAAGTAATGTTTGGAAACCTTGGGAAAGCAGAATCTGATTTTTCCCTCATTGGAAACTGGTTACTCAAGTGAAAATTAATACCCTCAAATCACCTTTTAACTCACAAATTAAGCCCTATGGTATTATAGAATAGACCATCCTTAACTATTAAATCCATATTTTTATTCATTATACATAGAATTATACAATGCTGTTTCTATGTAGAATCTGGATATTCATATATCAGCTGACAAGTCAACATTTAAAAGGTTTTTTTCTGTTGATGCTGCCTGCAAGCAATGGTTTAGTTTTGGCATTTTCATCATCCTTGTCTGACATTAGTGCTTGTTTTTTGTTTACTTATTGGTAAAATATAAGTATTGAGCCAAAGATGTAAATGACTAGGCTGTTTTAAGTGGCAAGTGTCTGGCTTCAACTAGATACTCATTATGTGATCAACTGTGAAAGAAAAGAATGAACAAATAAGTATGAAGGTTCGGAAATACATTGCTGGAGACTCAGATAAGGAAGAATGTATGTTTGACTCCTTGAGAAGGAGCCTTTTCCAGCTCACATACACACACATTGAACACACTTAAGTCTATTATTAAACTTTCAGCGACTGACCTCATTATAAGTTTTCGGAGACCTAGTATGTACTAAAATAAAATCTAAAGGTAAGACTTTAAATCAATTACTATTAGTGACCATGTCCATCACAAATTCCTAGAAGATTAAGAGAGAGATGGATCCTTAGAGTTCATCTACTTCAAAGCGATAGCTCTGCAGATGAAATAACTGGAGGCCACAAGGATGATCTTACTTGCCTAATGCTCCACAGTTAAGCTAATGGTGGCACTGGGACCAGAACCTGGGGCTTCTCTCATTCAGTATTCTTTCTATCACTGTTATTTTTGATGCCCAGCCATCATGTTAACATCACAATTCTATCTGGCTCCTCAAAAATCACCGCAGGCATGATCCCTAGTAGCCTTGGAAACTATTAGTGCATCCAGGTTTGGGGCCTGTGAATGTTTGATTCTTACTACACAAAATACAGTATCAAGACTTAAAAGCCAAATCAAATTAACTGATGTCACAAATGGTTTCTCTAACCCTAGGGGGGCATAGGTTCTGTTGTGTGTTTTGTGGCTGGAGGTGATCGTTCCCCAAGTTGCTGCTGACAGTGTCTGCCATTGTTCTCAGGCCCATGTGTGTAGCCACAGCCACATACTCAACCTGCTACGACAGAGACAGCCTTCACTGATTTCTAATAGATGTGCGTGGCAAGTGCAGTGCCATGGACAGGTAAGAGGGACTACAAGGCAAACCTAAGAAGAGGAGCAGAATCTGAGGGCTTGCCCTGTTTTATCCAAACAATTGTTTCCCAAACGCTACCACAGGGTTGTGTGTGTGTTTTTTTTTTTTAACATCTTTATTGGAGTATAATTGCCTTACAATGGTGTGTTAGTTTCTGCTTTACAACAAAGTGAATCAGTTATACGTATACATATGTCCCCATATCCCCTCCCTCTTGCGTCTCCCTCCCTCCCACCCTCCTTATCCCTCTAGGTGGTCACAAAGCACCGAGCTGATCTCCCTGTACCACAGGGGTCTTGATTACAATGAACCTGAAATCTTATAAAATACGGTATATGTTATTATTTAGCGGCTTCAGGGGAAGGGAGAGCCGATGGTGCCACACTTCTTAAAGAATTACTTCTTCACTAGTTCTAATTTTGGGGGTGGGAAACTTAGGTGCCCAGCACAAATGGGAACATAATTCATATAAGAAAATGTTTTCAAATAAATAAGACTTATCTCTGTGTGTGATTTTTTCTTTTAACTATACTTTAACGGAATTTAAAAAATAAATTACATATATATATATTTCATTGTTTATATTCTTAAGCAGAACCTAGTAAACATAAGTAACATGTTTTACACAGAAGAAGAAGGAAAAAAAATGGTTTCTCTATTTTATCTTCCAGGTCTAAGGTTAAATATCGTCCTTTCAGGGATGCCCCCTCTGGCAAGCTTATCTATGATTGCCCTGTTCTTCATAAAATTTTATAGCACATGCCATATTTTGCAATAATACATTTGTTTACTTATCATTGGTATATCTTCCCTAATAGACTGTAAACCCACGAAGGCAAGGGTCAGTTCACTACTGTTTATGTAGCACCTATGGCGCGGTCTGTGGCATGTAGAATGAGCTCAGGTAATATTTGTTGAGTAAACAAATGAATTTCTCTCTCTAACCCATGGTTGAGGCAAGCCTTACGGAAGCCTTAATTGTTCCTTTTATCCTGTCCTAAACTTGGTATCTAAGCCCGAGGATTAAAGTTCCAGGGAAGCAGATTTTAGCTCAGCAAAAGCTACCAATTAGAGAGCTTCAGAAATGGAATGAGCTATTCTGTGGGGTACTGAGCTCTTTGCCAAGAGGCTGCCAAGGTACAGAGGATCCCTCTGCTTTAGAAAGAAGCTCGACCTTGACAACCTCTCAGCGTCTCCTGTGACTTCCAACTCTAGGTTCTGCAGGTCTTTCCAGCTGTTTGATTTTGAGTTAGGTTAAAATAAAGTGCGTACAGAAACTCATTAGGAAGTAACCTAAGATAAGGCATCTAATGAGACTTAGAAAATTGATTATTCAGGCATGCATGCCTTTTTTTTTTTTTTTTCTTGCGTTATGCGGGCCTCTCACTGTCGTGGCCTCTCCCATTTGCGGAGCACAGGCTCCGGATGCGCAGGCTCAGTGGCCATGGCTCACGGGCCCAGCCGCTCCGCGGCATGTGGGATCTTCCCGAAACGGGGCACGAACCCGCGTCTCCTGCATCGGCAGGCGGACTCTCAAGCACTGCGCCACCAGGGAAGCCCATGCATGCCTTTTTATAATTATTTGATACATATGAATCCTACTGAGTTCACCATTTGCCATAAGTCCATATATCTGCATCTCAACGAAGACTAAAAGTAGAGTTAAAAAAATTTTGTGTAGCATTTCACAGTTTTAAACACATACACACACACACACACACGCACACACACACTTCCATGTGATTACTATATCAAGTCTGTGAGGAAAATGATGCATGAGCTCATACAGAGTAAGTGGCTTATCCAAACTCATACTTGTGACTGCTAGAACCGTCAGGTCGCGAAGTCCCAAATCAGTGATCTTCTCACTCCAATATGCCCCGTTACTTTTTGACTCCAGAATTATCCTCCCTTTAGGTTTAGCTATATATCCTCATCTTGGATGGAAAATACCTTTCTTCCAAATTTCACCGGGAAAAGGCCAAATGGAATTTAAAAACCTGTTTTTTTCTTTCATAGGTATCGAAAATCTATTTTATTGATTATCAAAGACGTTATAAATATCTAACATGAACTAACTGCAACACAACAGTGATTAAATACATCTTGTTAGCTTTTATAATTTAGGGTCAACAGTTATTAAATGTGATTTTTCATGTAGTCTGATGAAAAAAGATTTCAATTCACAATAGCAATTTTCTTAATTCAAGACCCGAAAAAGGAATATTTTCTTCTGTAATGTTTAGTAAAGCAGTGAGAATAAGATGGGAATTTATCACAGGTTAAATGGGAAGGGAGAAAAGATCCAACAACATTTTATTTTTAGCTAGTAGTTGCTTCTCAAAGGTCACAGAGGGCAGTGGTCTACTGATTAAAGACAAAGTAAAATACACAATTTCGGGACTTCCTGGCGGTCCAGTGGTTGAGACTTTGCCTTCCAGTGCGTGGGGTGTGGGTTCGATCCCTGGTCGGGGAGCTGGGATCCCACATGGCTTGCGGTCAAAGGGCCAAAGCATAGAACTGAAGCAATATTGTGACAAATTCAATAAAGACTTTAAAAAAATGGTCCACATCAAAAAAAAAAAAAAATCTTGAAAAAGTAAAATACACAATTTCATCCTGTCCTAGAGTTTGAAAGGACCTTTGAGATCATCTAGTTCAATTTCTTCATTTTTTTCTTAATTGATACAATAGCTTTGAGATTCTATCTGCTATAAGTACCTCTTCTTGATGGAGTTCATCTTTCCATGAAATGCCTTCAACTTTCAATGAAAATCATGATCACATGTATCTTTCATGTATCTTCTGGCATGACAATTACATATTGAAAACTTCTGCATTTCTACAGTTCAAACATGCATTCTCCTGTATGTATATTCATGTGCAGTACCTCTGGCACAGGGTGGTTTTCCTTAAGCAGTTTTCAGCTACAAAAGACACGAATGAGTAAATCTTGGAAAAGGGATAACATCTTTGATATTGTCAATTCCCAAGATGCACTGCAGATAGCGTTCAAATCCCATCCCAAAACCTCCATGTGGCACAGATCCAAATCGACGGAGGTCCAGATACCTAATTTTGAAAAACAGAGAATCATTACCTATAAATGTAAATGCTTCATTTAAGATCAGATGTTATGACAGAATTTTGTTTCAAAAGTTTTTTGCAATAATTTGTTATCATCACATCACTGCGGTAGACCAGTCTTTTTACAGAGAAGTTAAAGTGATCTGTCCAAGATTACCCAGACAAACAGCAGCATATCCTGTCATGCATTCATGGGCTTTGGTCACTTGATCCTTATTCTTTAAAGTTTGTTAGATGCTTATATACAGAAAACTTGTCTCATGAGGCTACAGGAAAATTTCTCATAACTTATTTTTCTTTAAATATATTCCTCTTCTATGTCTTGGTATATCTATGATAATGTTCTTGCTTTTCCTTACCAAAATTATATTGTTCAATACACAGAGAAGGGTGAAGAGTTTTGCCTGATGTATTACAAAAAGAGACTAGACTAGACTGTAAGCTACATCAAGGGCAGGAACTGCATCTTAGCCAACCTTTATCTCCAGTGACTGTCTGGGAATAGATGCTTACTATATGATGATTTATTGTTTGAAGGCATAAAAATATACTCTTGAGCACTGGAGTGAAGAAAAACTTTGACTTCTTTGCTTTAAGCCTAGTAGAAGATGTCCAGAGTCATTTTTCTGAAAGGCTACACAGCCTCTGAAGCCCATCCTTGCACATTCTATTCCCACATAAGACTACATGCTAGAAAATGGTATGTTCATGATTCAAACTCGGATTCCAATACACCAGTCTGGGATAAAGTTATTTTAGGAAAGGAAGAGAAGGAGGAAGACTCTATAACTATTTTTATTGTCATTTAATGGTGGGAATTCTTGAATTATACAATATTGATTAAAATAAGTTTATAGTTTCTTGAATGATTTGTAAAACATACAAAAATACAGCATAAAACTTAAGCACCACAGCTGGTAGTCATACGGCTCCTCAAGGATAAAGACTATAACCTTTTCCCCACTATTAATAACAATGACTACATGTATTGGTATTTTAGGCAATTAAGATTAAGTACTTCTCTTTCTAAAATAAAACACAAATTGCAACTAGGTGAGTTACAACCAAGTGAGAGATCAATAAGACAGGAGTTAGTAAATAAGAACTATCAGGAATAATGGAAGGAACACAGTCTTGAGTAATTGAAATGTTTGGTAGCTGAATTAACTTTAAGTTCATAAGGCATGGGGGCAGAATACACTTTGATTTAGTGAGAAAATGAGATGAAGGGCATGTCAAACCACCTGCCACAAACACCTGCAGGATCTGAGTCGGCTGCTAGAAGTCCAGTATCTAGCTTTAGCTGGCTTTAAATTTCTCATACATCGATGTCAAAACACTGGCATAAATGCCTGGAAACTGAATTCAGAGGAGGGATTCTGTCTTTAGCATTTTTCTTGCTTTTGCTTTGACAGATGGAAAAATCTACTTCTAAAAACAAGTTTTCAAAAGAATCTTTGTTTGATTGTTGCTATATTGATTCTAGGGTAGCCAGATTATAGAAGAGATGGTACAAAAATTATGGAACTAGTTACAGATTATTTGCATGTGGCGTGTAGAAACAGGAAGTGAGAAAATTCTTAGACACCTGGGGTGGCTATTCACAGTGTGGTACAGAACACTAGCAGAGATCACAGACTTGGAGATTTTTAAGGTCCTTTCTACCTTAAAATGCTATGATTATCATATAAAAGGAAGCAGATTCCAACTGTTAAAAAAATAAAATTCAAGTGAGTAAATTTTTAAGATCTTAATTGGCTTTATTCAGTGATTCATGAATCAGGCAGTATCCCATCTAGCAATAGAAAAGAGCTCCGAAGAGCTCTACAGAATGATTATAGGCAGAAGGGGGTAGGACAAGGAAATTACTAGCAAAGAGTGGGTGGTTTCAGGAAAGGTCGCCTTCCTTTAGGAGATGGCAGGGGTCTCTCAGGCAGATTACCTCACCAGTGTTGACCAGGTAATTTTAGATTCCCTGGTTCAAGATTCCACTCCTGGGAGATGTCAAAACTATAATATATATATATATATATATTTACTTATTTATTTATGGCTGTGCTGGCTCTTCGTTTCTGTGTGAGGGCTTTCTCTAGCTGTGGCAAGTGGGGGCCACTCTTCATCACGGAGCACATGCCTCTCACTATCGCGGCCTCTCTTGTTGCGGAGCACAGGCTCCAGACACGCAGGCTCAGTAATTGTGGCTCACAGGGCTAGTTGCTCCGCGGCATGTGGGATCTTCCCAGACCAGGGCTCGAACCCGTGTCCCCTGCATTGGCAGGCAGATTCTCAACCACTGCGCCACCAGGGAAGCCCTCAAAACTATAATTAAGTTAGGTATTAAGTCTCAGTTTGGTGATGTGAGCTTAGTACAAGTGACTCCATTTTGAGCCTGCTGTCTCTTTTATTAACAAACTAATAAATATTTATATTTGGAGATGTTAGGAGTTTGAAAACTTTAGTTGGGAAAGAGTAGTATTGAAATGATTAATAAAGACCAGAAAAGGTCTAAACCAATAATTAAGATTTATATATAACTAGTTTTTATACACTATGAATATTACCTTGTAGACAGAAAGAAACTGAGGTAAAATGCATAAGCTTGACAATCAGGCTCATCTACCTAATAGCAAGGTTCAGAACAAAAGAAGGAAAGGGGGACGGAAACTTAACTAAGCTTCTACTCTGTGTAGATACTTAACCTGTATTGTTTCCTTTCATCCTAACAATAACCCTGTGAAGTAGATATTATCATTCCATTTTATGGCCAAGAAAACCAAGACTCAAGAGAGATTAAATATGCCAAAGTTCATTACTGATAAATAATGAAGGAATCTAGGGCCATTACTTGAACCCAACTTTAGGCTTTTTTGCATCTCTGAAATCTAGCTCCTTCATTACGAAAAGGCAAGTGTGTAATTTAACCTTTCCTTCTCCTGAGGACAGCAAAAGAATTAATAATTTTGTTGATATTATTATACTAAGATCCTGAAAGAGTCTCATTACACAAATATAAATAAATAAATAATTTGTATATACTGTAAAGCACTTGAAGAAAGGGTCTGCAGAAAGAACACCAGAACAACTTAGGAATGCAGACAGATGATCTTCCCTAAGCAGCTTGGATTTCTACAGTTGGTGGAGACCTCAGGGACCACTTAGCTCAAGCTCCTAATTTCACACATAGAGAAAATGAAGCATAATGGTTAGGAACAAAGTCCCAGCTCTATGCTTCTAACTGTGTGCTCCTGCTTAAGTTAGTTAACATCTCTAGGCCTCAGGCCTGGAGGGATAATAAAAAGAGAATAAGAATAGTACCTTACTAACAGGGTGTTGTATCAAAATTTTAACACAGTTATCTGGCACACAATAGGTAGTAAATAAATGACAGACATTATTATTACCACTTTTCAAAGACTCAAAGGGAGTAAATAATCTGAGAACCTGTTCATTGTTTTAACACTCTTCTATAGCACCCTGGAAATACAAGTGAAAACTATTTAACACTCAGACCCACAGCTAGAATAAGAGTCATCAGGGGTCACATTCTCACCATTGGTAGGCTTCTGTCAGTCCTGACCTGTAAAAGGAAAACAACAAAATTATTTCAGAGAATGGCAATAAGATAAATATACTAGTCACCAAACATTTATTCTGGGTTGTGTGCACAGTGCGCTTTATAAAGAAGTACACACCAAAACCTGTGCTCTTAAATAACATGCAATACAGTTAAGAAGCTAAGCCTTTATTAGGTGGTAAGAAAGGTAAGATAACCAATAGTAAGAAAACCAATAGTCCAAGGTATTATCAAATAATAAATGCTATAGAAGGAAAGTATGGTCCAGAGCCCAAAAGAAGGGCTTCATTTGCGATAAATTTATCATCCTGTGACATAAGAAAAGTACTATTACTACTATATAGGGTTGTTGAAAAGCACACACAGACAAGTGATGTAGAGACACAATTTTCCTTCCACAATATTAAAACAATAATACAGATTCTGAGGCTGCCTTCATAATATGGCTGCAAATTGGTTTTTGCCAATTTGAGAAATGTTAATAAAACTTAAAGCTCTTAGTACTCATGAAATTTAAGTTCAGCCCTTAAAAGTGTTTGGGACAACTGTGTCCCTCAAAGTGATCAAGATTATGAAAAATTCAAATATACAAAAATATGAAAAACATGAACAGAAGTCACAGACAGATCTCTGAGACAGGTAAACAGATATATCCACTTCATTAGGAAAGACAAATTTGGATATTATCAGATATTAGGTAAACATTTAATGTTATGAGGAAAGGTTTCCTGAAGGAAGGAAGCAAGCAAAGAAAACAGACCAATTAATCTTTCAACAGATGAAGTTCCTTGCCATGTGTGATTTTTATTGTGCTTTAAAAAAAAAACAGAAAATCTTCAAATTCTTTCCATCTAAGGGGTTTTACCATCACTTCAATTCCACGATTTTTCCAGGACTTCTTAACACTAGAGTAATACTAAGGAGTTAGTAGCCTAGGTGATAAAAGAGTCCTCCCAGAACATATTTGTCCCCTTTCTTCTGGACGCTAACCAAACAGAGCAGTTCAAATGATTGGGATTACAAAACCAAGTTACTCAACAGATTCATAGGTTTGGATCTTGGAAAATCAACAGCTTTTTAAGCATTTCTCCATTAGGAAAAGAAGGCCTTAACAAATGGTTAATTTAATAAACATGTCAAACAATCATGACTTTTCCAGGTTACTGTGAAACTTAGTATTATCTGGAGAGAAAGATTAAGCCTTCAACATGGGAAAGTCATTTTTTAAAATAGTCTGGCACAGTAAAAGTGGAAACCATGGAAAACAGAGGTTTATAACCTTGGTTAGTTTAGGAAGTCATTGTGGGTTGTTGGCAGACCACGCATATACAGGAGTGGTAGTTCGATTAGAAACATGATTCCCTCCTCCTCATCTCCAAAACATTTTCTCGTGTTTATGGATACATTTCCCAGGTCTCAAACAGTGAGTTAAAATAAAGTTATTCAAATACCTAAATCAAGATGCTTACATAGTAGAAAACCTGAGGAAGGGAAAACTGCTTATTCAAAATGCTAGCTTAGTGTATAGTTTTAGTTTCTTTCCCCCTCCATCTTTATCCTTTCCCTGGTTCAGAGCCTTTCCTTATGCCCTGTAGGAGTCTGCCAATCATAATTTAGAGTTAAACACACACACACACACACACACACACAAAGTGAAGAACAAACTTTAAGGGGGAAAATTTTCCTTCTCTATCATTAACTTTTTAAAAAAAATTTATTTAATTGATTTATTTTTGGCAGTGTTGGGTCTTTGTTGCTGCACATGGGCTTTCTCTAGTTGCGGCGAGCGAGGGCTACTCTTTGTTGTGGTGCGCGGGCTTCTCTTTGTGGTGCCTTCTCTTGTTGAGGAGCATGGGCTCTAGGTGCGTGGGCTTCAGTAGTTGTGGCACACGGGCTCTAGAGCACAGGCTCAGTAGTTGTGTCACATGGGCTTAGCTGCTCTGTGGCATGCGGGATCTTCCCGGACCAGGGCTCAAACCTGTGTCCCCTGCATCGGCGCGGATTCTTTCCCTGGCCTGAGTGAGCAAGAGAGCTGTAATCAGCTGCTGCTTTAACCCCTCCTGTCTGGGTGGGGAACAGATGCTTGAGGGCAGCCTACACGCAGAGGCAGGGCCAAAACCAAAGCTGAACCCCAGGAGCTGTGCGAACAAAGATGAGAAAGGGAAATTTCTCTGTGCAGCCTCAGGAGCAGCAGATTAAATCCCCACAATCAACTTGATAAGCCCTGCATCTGTGGAATACCTGAATAGACAATGCATGTTCCCAAAATTGAGGCAGTGGACTTTGGGAGCAACTATAGACTTAGGGTTTGCTATCTGCATCTGATTTGTTTCTGTTTTTATGTTTATCTTAGTTTAGTTTCTAGTGCTTGTTAGCATTGGTGGATTTGTTTATTGGTTTGATTGCTCTCTTCCTTTTTAATAATTTTTAATTTAAAAAAATTGTAAATTTCTTTTCCTTTTTTCTCTTTTTGGTATGCGGACCTCTCACTGTTGTGGTCTCTCCTGTTGCAGAGCACAGGCTCCGGACACGCAGGCTCAGCGGCCATGGCTCCGTGCCTAGCCGCTCTGCGGCATGTGGGATCTTCCCGGACTAGGGCACGAACACTGTGTCCCCTGCATTGGCAGGCGGACTCTCAACCACTGTGCCACCAGGGAAGCCCTATCATTAACTTTTAAAAAAGCTATTTCCATAGGGAGAGATACATACAAATAGTGGCAAAAAATCATTGTGTTTCGTGTAATAGTTCTAGTCTTTCAGAAAGAGAAGCTCAGAGAGGTTAAGTAACAACTTGCTCAAGGTCACACAGAATCTGTGATCCAGGTCTGTCAGGAGCTACGGCCCATGCGCTATTCTCTGTTAGTTTGCCATGACTGCCTTTGAGTGCCCCATCCCCAAGTTCTGAATTCCGTTTCTTCTAGGTCTCACCAATACCTGGCCAATCGCTGCTCTAAGAAATGGTACCGTTCTTCTCTGAGGCTTCCCCCAAAGAGTTCTCCAACTCCAGGAACTAGAAGATCAACAGCAGCAACCTAAAAAGGAAAAAACTCATAAACAACATTCTGTTTTCAGAGCATTCCGACAACTGTCAGCTTCTGAAGCAAGTGGAACGTTTAACATTTTGACAACTGGCTATTTAACTGTTTACCAGAATCTTATTTATGTTACCTGTTCATGTTTCCTGTTTTAATACCAAATGTTTAATATTATCTTTAGAATACAAAATGCAGGTGGACAGTTTCCCCTCTGGCACCATTTATGCAGTATACTTAACAAAAATGTGTTTTCTGCACAAATGTGATACAAATGTTAATTATAAAAATGTGGGAAGTATTAAAAATTATGAAATATTAAAAAACACCTATTAGCATGCAGAAGCAATTACATGTTGGCATATTTTCTTTCAGGTTTTTCTTCTTATATGCTTAAAGAGTATAGCAGAGATCAAATTACATATAAAATTTACCATTCTAATTGTCTTAGCTAATATTATACAATAAATATTTTTCCTATGTCAGTAAAAATACTTTGCATACTTAATGTTTTAACAGCTTCACAGTTTATTGTTTGGAAGTATCATAGTTTATTTAATAGTTTATTTAACTGCTTTCCTTTTGTTGAACATTTAGGGGGGTGTGTGTGTGACAGTGTGTGTGTCTTTTCTCTTATAAATAATGTGGCATTGAAGTTTTTCTTTAATTTGAAGTATGTTAGGACATGTAAAATATGTTCTGATCATTAATCAAATTAAAACAAAGAGATACCACTTCGGAGTTATCAAAATGGTAAAGATAAACAACATAAACAATATGGATTAGAGAATGCATAGACCAATACCCTGGTACATCTGATACAACCTTTCTGGTGGGCAACTTGGCAAAAGATAATCAAAGCCTTAAAAATGCAATATGCTTCGACTCAGCAACAGGAGTTCTAGGAACTAGTTCTAACAAAATAATCAGAGATGAAAAAAAAAAAAGATCAACGCACAGGATGTTATTTGTATTTTCTTATTTTCTGCAATAGAGGTGTGTTACACTTTCGTAATAAAACAACCATTTTTTAATGGGGAAAATGGTAGCTTGATGTTTTAATTTGTATCTCTTCACTTACTAGTAATATTTACTTTTTGAGAATGTTTATTTGCTGTCTATATTATTTTGTGACTTAGCAATTCTTTTTTTGGGGTGGGGGGAACAAAGGGGGACCAGGCAGACATTCTTAGGGCCAAGAATCTGAAGGCACAAAACTCAGAAAGATTTATTTTACAAATGAAAAATTAGGAACCCATAAAACACATTTAATAACACATAAAACACTTAAGCTTTAAATGTCACATTATATTATAAACTCTTTTCTTAAACCCTGCCTTACTTTACTATTAAGCCATTCTCCTGTTTTCTGATTTCAGAATTTTTGACTGATAAAATAATTAAGATTAACAAAGAATGTAATAATTTAAGAATGTGTGCCAAATGCTACATAATCCTCAGTACTATCATTAAAGAGAAAACACGAGACATGATTTTCATCCATCAGCTGAATCAAAGTGAGAGCAAATGGAAATTTACTAATGGTTTCTACTTTTACAGAATCTCCTACCACTCAATAAGCTTGTGAAGAGTAAGTGTACAAACATGCTTTTTTCACACTACCACTGCTGGCTGACTACATTTTAGTCATTCTTCTATGAACCTGGAAGACCTAAAACGAACAGGCAAGTATTTTAGAATGTGGATTTGGGGACTCAGACAGGATAGTAGGTAATGAAACACACAGCTCTGGCTAGGTAAACAAGAGAGCTTTACTAATGTGAAGAGCAAATTCTCATAGGCTATACAATTAATAGAGCTGGACTCCAATCAGGACCCTGCAGTTACCCCTTCTTTTCTCAGAGAAAGGAGAAGATCAAGGGAGTTTTCATGGCCACAGGAGGACAGGTATCATTATTTACTAGTATATACTGCTTTTAGACATGGCTAAAATATGCTAGGAGCTGAGAGACACATGATGAAAAATTTGTTCTTAACGTCAATCCAGAGTTTTAAATTTAGAGTTACAGGCAATCGGGGTTGGAAGAGAACAGACAACCAAGTGGCTCTCTGGCCTTTGCCTGAAAATATTTAAGCAAATATTTGATATAATTACACTAATTGTTTACTAATATTTAATGTACTATATTAATATTAATAAACTTAACAAATATTTAACAAAAATATTTAAGGGAATGAAGACCCCTGAAATATAGCATTCCATCCTTGTGTAGCTCTGTCAGAAAGGACAGGTATATTCAAAATCTATCATTTCAAAGTTTTTGAAGTAAGGGCAACTCCAAGGTACAAAGGTGTACAGAGATTGATTCCGGTACTGCAAGTACATGCAAAGCTTTAAGAGCCAGAACTAAAAAAGTCCACTGCCTCAAAAGAAAACAAAATGCTGAGGAATCAGCTATTACGGAAGAATAAGAAGTAGGTAGTCCAGCAGAGGCTGGTGGCCAGTGATGAGGAAGTGAGGCAAGCCTTGATGCATCAAACAAGAGATCCATTTCTTGCTTGGCCCTGCTGCTAACACAGCTAAAGCAAGCAAAAACCTTTTTGGGATCTTAGCATTTTTTGCAGGTCTAAATTATGTCAACTTTGGACCTTAGGTTTTTTTAATGCTATTTTTAGAGGAGTGTAAGACTCATATTTATGTTTGATTACAAACCTCCTTTGTATTAATATTTGATTTCCCTCTATCTCCCAACAGTTATACTCCCCTAGTTATGACAACCAAAAAAGTCTCCAGACATTGTTGAATGTCTCCTGGGTGGGGGTAAGGGGGAACAAAATAACCCCTGATTGAGAAACACTGCTTTACATCAATGAATTGGATTTTTAAAACTTATGCTGCATGTCCATCCTGACTTGAAACGATAAAAAAGGCTTCTTTCTGAGGTATTGCTGATCTTGTGGCCGATGGGAAAAAAGAGCACGATGAGAATGTAGTAAAAGCATTTGTCCAGAAGTATTGTATGTAGGTCATGTTTGCTCCCAATTCTTGGCCAGTGTAAGGCACATGCAAGTCACGAAGCTCATGTCAATGGGGCAGGGAAGTAAATACCCCTGCCCCCACCTCCCGAGGGCGGAGCAGCAACCATTTATGTATAATAAAACAATTTACCAGGTAGCTTTCCCCCCCCACCTACTTGGGCTCTTCCACTTCCACTTTCCCAACCAATTTCTCATTGTTAATTAGAATTCAGGTCAGAATAGCAGTTCCCCTATTTCCTTCCTCTGTACTCTGGGAAAGGAACTTATCAGTAGGAAAGAACTTACCAAATAGTCTATTTTAGTTGAATAAGAAGTTTAGAAGATCAAGTCCCACATCACTACTAATTTTGTGACATGCAGAAGGAAGACATCCTCATCTAAGTCCTTTCTTTGTCTGGATGGTCTGAAAATTCACACTCTCAGGCAGGAGAACTTCCTGTACGTTTTCTTGACATGGAGAGTAAAGTTGCTTCCCCTCCTAGGAGCTGTGTACCTTTTAAGTAAGGAATTCCTCTTAATGCCTCATCAATGTTCCATGACTACAGGGTACTATTTCTTTTCTATGAAGGATAGATCTATCTCTCGGTGAAGACAGGCCCGCAAAGGCCTTCTCCTCTCTTCCTACATATAACCTTCCTCTCTTTTCTGTTACTTGAGGCTTCCCTTCAACAATACCAGATCTGTTTACGTCCTGCTGTCCTTTTATAATGAGATCTTCCAATCTACCTAGAGGTTCTGCACACTTTCTGAGAACCTATAGTATAGTAAAGTATTCCTCAAATATAAATAATGACATTTACATTAGTAGACACAGAGTGGCACTTTCTTCTGATATGGTATAAAAAAAATACTGCATTCCCTAAAGATCACTATAACAATCCCCTCAATTTCCACACTTCTTAGTTAGGGCTGAGATTCCAGATAGGATTCTTCTATCTGTGTCTCCACCTGGTAACTACTGGGCTAATTACTACAGAAACTGCCTGTTTCTCCAGGGCTCTAGGGGAGGTAAAAGGCACATACAGATATAATACAAATCATGACATAGGGGTGAACAAAGTACAAAATGTGGAGCGACTCACACAAATTTCTTAAGAAGTAATGAGAAAAACTTGGTTGTGTGTTTGCCAAGTGACGGGTGGTAAGGCCGTTAGAGTGCAAAAGGTTGAAAACAAGCAAGTTGCCCAGATCACTAACATGTGATTAGTTTGCCAGGATGGGCTGGCAGGTCTGTGGTTTACAGGAGTCTAAAGCTAGCTTAAAGAGCTAGGGGCTGAGCAATCCTGCCCTTGATGAGGAAGTGAGAATCCACAGGCTGCACAGGGAAATGTCCTCTTAATTCAAAGCGGACCAAATTTCACTTAAAATCTCCACTGTGTTCCTGTGCATCTTTGGGAGATTTGAAATAAATAGAAGGACTTTAGTTCTGCTGTCCTCTCACTCTCCTACACAGTTCTCAATGAAGGCTACAAATTGTGTGTGTGTGTGTATTTTTTTTTTTTAAGCTACAAATATTTTTACTACACCCTTTGCTAACTTCTTTAGTCTTAAAACTTATTCCACTTTGGGCACATCTTCTAGGCCAGAATGCTGTCTGGCACATCTTCCTCCACTGTGTATGAGTTTTGATTTTGCTTAAGTCACACAGCTACAGCAGCATGCTGTCTAGAAATAGTGTGTGTTGGTATTTAAGCTGAACAGCCCTGGTCTCTATTTATGACACTCCCTTTTGACTCCTACTCTTTGATTCCAATAGTGTACTGAAAAGAAAACTCAGCCCTTGAATTAAAAAATGAACAGGCTAGATAGGAACAAGGCCTTTAATATTTAGTATATAACCTCTTCTATGCTAACTTCAAAGAGAGGGGAAAAAAGTTTAATGTCCCATCTTCTGCTACCTATTTTTAAATACTGATGAAAAACAGAAACCGAACACCTCCCTATTCAGTTTCTCACAGGTGCTACCAACAATGGAGCAATATTATGTACTATTATCCAAG